GTTGATGTTTTTCTTAGTTCATATCTTAGATGTTATTACTGTTTTTCTTATACATTTTATTGTTGGATGTAACTGGGACCCTGTGTACATAATTTCGCTCCACCACATGTACCACATGAGGTGCGAATGACAATAAAGAAACTCTGACTCTCTGACTTTGACTCTGATATCCTGCTTTTCTATCAGTTAGATGCGTTTAGTACACACACACACACAGAGACGCAGCTCTTTGTGATTGTGAGACTCACGGTTATCTCCCATTTACGTCAACATATTATCCAGCTTTTTACAGTTACCAGAACATATCCTGTCAAATTAAGAGAGTTCACGGATCTTGTTCCAGCAGGATCCGGCTCAAATTAAGCCCCGGACATAACAGTCATGCAGAAGCTGCATGCGCAATGAATGCAGCTGAACCCTGCATCAGGATTGCCAAATATATTTAAATGTCTTATTTACCCCCTCCTTTTCTGTGCACATGTTGAACAAACACAACACACACCTTATCTTAGAATATCTTTACTCAGCACATACAGTATGACAGTTTAGGTCAACATACTATAATTTTAAAGCCATAGTACTATAGTTCATAACTTCCAGGTAGTTCACTTTGACTTGGTCATTTTAACATTAGCTCACATGTTGAAAAAATCTGGGCACCCCTGGTCTAGTCCATCCATTTTCTTTAGCCACTTCTCTTGTTACAGGTTGTGAGGCAGTCACTGTACACGTGGCGGGTTACACCCTGGACAGGTCTCAATTCATCACAAGGACGCATAGAGACACACGAAACATCAATTCAAGCAATTTTTAACAAGTTGATCAAGCCTAAAAGACAATTCTAGTCTAATTCCTTTCATTTTATTCCAAATAATTGCATTACAAATAGCGCCAAATCACAACAAAGTTGTCTCAGGGCACTTTACAGAAGCATTCACATACATAGAAAAGCCAATTAGTAAAGTTCTCTATCTAAGGAATCCAGCAGACAAGTTGAATGTTGGCTTCGTTGCAGTCTCCCATCCTGAGCAAGCACCAGCAGTGGCAACAGTGGAAAGAAAAAACTCCCTTTAAACAGGAAGAAACCTCCAGCAGAACCAGCTCAGGACAAGCGGCCATCTGCTTTGACCGGCTGGTTGAGAGGACAGGAAGGAGAGACAGACGAACACAGAATGGTAGGTCCAGGTATAGGTCCAGGTGTATCTGAAAGACAAAAAAACTCATGTTAAGGATAGAAACAATAATTACAAATACAAAACAGGTTGAGCAGAGTAAGTAAAGACAGTAGCAGAGTGAAAAGTGTGGTCAGTTTGTCCTCCAGCAGTCTAAGCCTATAGCAGCATAACTAAGGGACAGCTCAGGAAACCCGAGCCGACCCTAACTATAGGATTTATCAAAAAGAAAAGTCTTAAGCCTAGTTTTAAAACTGGACAATGTGTCAGAAACTGGAAGTTGGTTCCACATCTGATAACTGAAAGATCTTCCTCCCATTCTGGTTTTGAAAACTCTAGGAACCACAGGACAACTTTAGAACGTTTATTAAAGTTAGAAATATCTTTCACTTAAAGCTTTTAAACGACTCATCTGATACTGCTGCAAATTATGAAATACCTTTGTCATTTTTCTCTTAAGTCATCTTCATGTTTTATTGTTTTTCTCCAGATACTATTATTTGCAGCCCATTCAAATGTAATTTCTGCCATTTCTTAACCCTAAATGATTGTATATTTCTGATTTCTCTCTGAATAGTTGCAAAGTTGACCCGACTGTTCAGATCCACTCTTCTTCCAACAAGCGACAGTTCAAGTTCAGCATGGAGGCCTTTAAATTCATCGGCCTACACGACCAGGTGAGGATTAAACACTGTACACCTGATTTCTAAACATCCAAATTACGATTCCATTTTATTCAAGAGATTTTCCTAAAACCTGTGAGACAACTGAGTTTCTGCATGTTTGGAGCCTGTAGATTCAGTTTCTGTCATCCAATGGGTTTCCAGGACATTAGGAAGTGATTGGAAACAAAATATTTTATCTACAAAAAAAAATTCTAGGAATAAAATAAATATATTTCCTAAAATGTGAACAAATGCTAATTTTATTGGTGTTTTGTAACCATTCCAAAAAAATGGTACTGTTCATTGTGTCTAATTTTAAGAAATTCCGGCCCCTTTGCCGATGAAACAAAAACTAACTTTATGACATTAGTCTTCCTTGAAGGAAAGTGAATGCCTTGCAAAACTAAGTTTTAAACAAAGATCTTAATCATAATCTGGTGGCACTCACAGTTTCTCAAAGGGATGATGCCCATCTACTACCAGTCCCAATGTCAGAGTAATGTGAGTTGTAGTTTTTTTGTGTTTAAGTTGGATTCGCTGAACTAAGGATAGGATCAGCTGTAGATGCACATCCTATTTGTGTTCATAATTATGAAGCATTCACACTATTATGATCCACTTTTCTTCTGTACGTTTTTCAGTGCAATTCTCATCCTGCAGTTTTTAAGAAATTTCAACAAATCAAAAATCAAAACGTTAGCTCTTTCAAGACAGTCCTGCTATGACTTTTAGTACTGGTGGAACTTTAGCAGTTTTTTAGCTGTTTTGTGCTTCTAACTTGTTTCTGCTCCTTTCAGCTTTTTTCTACAAGTTTCAGGTTTTTTCTGCTATTTCAGCTACTATTGAGCAGGTTTGTGCTAATTTTAGCTTGTTCAGCTAATTCCGCCTTTTTTGCACTCATTTTTATTTATTTTTTATTTATTCATTAATTTAAAAGAAACAAAACAAATTCATCAAAAAGAAAAAAACATTGAATGAAAAGGGTGCAGAAAGAAGAAGAAAATTCTTATAATATCTGCCCTTATTTAAAAAATATAAAATAAACAAATAAACAACTCAGGCTTGAACAATCCCCAAAGCGAAAACAAAAAAATCTGTCATGATCAGAGATCTCTGCTTGCCTAATCTGCTTAAGTCTCTGCCCCTTTATGCCTTTATCACTTCCTCTGTCCCCTGCCTCACTCACAGCCCCTCTTGTCATGTTTCTGCTCCTCTTTGTCATATGCTGTTTTCCCTGCCTCTTCATGTTATGTTTTCTTCAGTCATTAAGCCACGCCCCTGTCTGCACTTTCAGCTCATCAGCCCTGATTCACTGCACCTGTTCTTGGCCTTATTTAAGAGCTCCACTTTCACTTATCCGGTGCCAGATTATCACACCACTCACGGTCCCTGATTTTCCAGCCATCGTAGTTTTCTTGTTTCATGCCTGAACTTCAATCCTTGTTATTGGATTTTCGACCTCACGCCTTGCCTTCTGGATTTCCCGTTTTTGCCTGCCCCTCATTTGGTTCTGCTCTGCCTCTCTGATCACGGTAACGACCTCCTCTTCTCTCTATGACCACGACTCACGGATCACCCTTTTTGGATTACTTTTGTACTACTGACTCCTGTGTTTGACCCCTGCTTTGCCCTTTGGACTATCCATCCATACATCCATTTTCTTCCGCTTATCCGGGGTCGGGTCGCGGGGGTAACAGCCTAAGTAGGGAGGCCCAGACTTCCCTCTCCTCAGCCACTTGGGCCAGCTCCTCCGGGGGAATACCGAGGTGTTCCAAGCCCAGCTGAGAAACATAGTCCCTCCAGTGTGTCCTGGGTCTTCCTCTGGATCTCCTCCCGGTGGGACATGTCCGGAACACCTCACCAGGGAGGCGTCCAGGAGGCATCCTAACCAGATGCTCGAGCCACCTCAACTGGCTCCTCTCGACGTGGACAAGCAGTGGCTCTAGTCTGAGTCCCTCCTGGATGATCGAGCTTCTCACCCTATCTCTAAGGGAGAGCCCAGACACCCTGCGGAGAAAACTCATTTTGGCTGCTTGTATCCGAGATCTCGTTCTTTCGGTCACAACCCAAAGCGCATGACAATAGATGAGAGTAGGAACGTAGATCGATCGGTAAATTGAAAGCTTCGCCTTTTGACTCAGCTCTCTCTTCACCACGACAGACCTGTACAGTGCCCGCTTCACTGCAGACGCTGTACCTATCCGCCTATCGATCTCACGCTCCATTTTTCCCTCATTCGTGAACAAGACCCCAAGATACTTGAACTCCTCTACTTGGGGTAGGACCTCCTCCCTGACTCGGAGAGGGCACTCTACCCTTTTCCGGCTCAAGACCATGGCCTCGGATTTGGAGGAACTGATCTTCATCCCGGCCGTGTCGCACTTGGCTGCGAACCGCTCCAGCGAAAGCTGCAGATCACGACCTGATGAAGCCAATAGGACCACATCATCTGCAAAAAGCAGAGACGCAATCCTAAGGCCACCAAAATGGATCCCCTCAACACCTTGGCTGCACCTAGAAATTCTGTCCATAAAAGTTATGAACAGAATCGGTGACAAAGGACATCCTTGGCTGAGTCCAACTCTCACCAGGAACAAGCCCAACAATGCGGACCAGGCTCTGACACCGGTCCTACGGGGACCTAACAGCCCGATTCAAAGGGTCCGGTACCCCATTCTCCCAGAGTACCCCCCACAGGGTTCCCCGAGGAACACGGTCCAATGCCTTCTCCAAGTCCACAAAGCACGTGTAGACCGGTTGGGCAAACTCCCACGCACCCTCCAGGACCCTGCTGAGAGTGTTGAGCTGGTCCAGTGTTCCACAACCAGGACAAAAACCGCGCTGCTCCTCCTGAATCCAAGGTTCGACTATCCGACGGACCCTCCTCTCCAGAACCCCCGAATAGACCTTACCAGGGAGGCTTAAATGCGTGATGCCCCTGTAGTTGGAACACACTCTACGGTCCCCTTTTTTCAATAGGGGGACCACCACCCCGGTCTGCCAATCCAGGGGAACTTCCCCCGATGTCCACGCAATACTGCAGTGTCGCGTAAGCCAACACAACCCTATAACATTCAGAGCCCTAAGGAACTCCGGGCGAATCTCATCCACCCCTGGGGCCCTGCCACCGAGGAGCTTTTTAACCACCTCGGTGACCTCAGCACCAGAGATTGGAGGGCCCGACCCAGAGTCCCCAGGCTCCGCTTTCTCAATAGAAGACGTGCTGGTAGGATTGAGGAGGTCTTCAAAGTATTCTGCCCACCGACCCACGACATCCCGAGTTGAGGTCAGCAGCACACCACCCTCACTATAAACAGTGTTGATGGTGTACCGCTTTCCCCCCCAAGACGCCGGATGGTGGACCAGAATCGCCTCGAAGCCGTGCGGAAGTCATTCTCCATGGCCTCTTCGAACTCCTCCCATGCCCGAGTTTTTGCCTCAGCGACCACCAGAGCCGCATATCGCTTGCACTGCCGGTACCCATCAGCTGCTTCCAGGGTCCCACAGGCCAAAAAGGCCCTATATGACTCCTTCTTCAGCCTGACAGCATCCCTCACTGCCGGTGTCCACCACCGGGTTCGAGGGTTGCCACCGCGACAGGCACGACAACCTTGCAGCCGCAGCTCTGGTAAGCCACCTCGATAATAGAGGCACAGAACATGGCCCACTCAGACTCAATATCCCCCACCTATTCTGGCAACGAATTTCATTATCGATTCGTTGTGTCGCGCGATTATGCATCTTTCACGGCGCTGCGGAGCCGTTTCGTTTTGCTCATGGGAAGTTCATTGTCAATGCTGACTGACTGAATAAAGTTTGAAAAACAAAAAATGCAGCGCGAGTTGAACAGAGCGAGGCTGTTTTCAAAGGAAATTAAGTAAATTTTACAAATGACCAACACAGCAAAAACTGTTCGACCCAAGTCCTCCAAAGTGTGGGAGCTCTTCACAAAGATAAAAAATGAGAAGCATGTCGCTTTGAAAATTGCCGAGACGACACGGGAGAACCACGGAGATTAAACGTAAACATGTCGGAGTCATGAGCTGCAGCTGATACAACATGTCTCACTCCCAACTCGTGTTGCAGGTGAGTCTCTACAATTTAACACATTGTTCTGTTTCAAGAGAGAAAACGTAACGTCAGTCTGTCTGGTAGATGAAGCTGCTGTTTGTTTGTTTATTTATCTGATTAATGATGGTGATAAACGTGTGTTACTTTTTATTTAATTTAATTGGAACAAGCAGTGTTTAAATGTGATTTATAAATAAATCTAACACAAAGATAATAATTTAATGATTAAGCTTCAACTTTTAATTTGTTGGCAAAGTCTGAAGACACTGCAGGTATGGCAGGATGAATTGCATTTAAACAGTAATTAAAGTTATTTATTACATTTACTCAAATGTGTGTAATTAAGTATTTTATATGTGTGTGTGTGTGTGTGTGTGTGTGTGTGTGTGTGTGTGTGTGTGTGTGTGTGTGTGTGTGTGTGTGTGTTTAATTGCTCTTTTAGCTACTTTTGCCTGAACCTAACACTGTAAGTGAAACAAGGCATTTCTTGAGTTGCTGTAAATTATACTATAAAACATATTTACTGTCTCATTCCAGAAAACAACAACAAACAACAACATCCTTCATGATGGACAGACATCATGGACACCACAGCAGCAGCTGTCTTCACTGAAACATCCTTAAATGATCGTCACTGACATGAGACCTCTGTCGATAGTTGAAGACGAAGGCTTCACTACAATGATCCACACTTTTAATCCAGGTTACAATAATCCACACTTTTAATCCAGGTTACAATGATCCACACTTTTAATCCAGGTTACACTCTTCCCTCAAGGACACATTTTACAAAGTAGCTACATATTGTGCAGGTATAAAGATACATTTGTATATATTTTTGTGTACATTTATTTTTTTAAGCTATTTGACTAACTGATTTTTTATTATTCAATATTTTACTAACAGAATAGTAAAATAGCAACCTGTTTTTTGTGCGAATT